AGGCTGCTTTTTATCACAAATACGTAAAGATGCAGATTGTTTTTAATTGATTCCCTACCCTTGACACACTTTCCTTGCCCACCCAGAAACAAAGAATTACTCATGGTGCCCTTTGTTTTTTGAGTTTCAGCTTGTGGTTTGCGCATCACATTAAACCATAGTTTATATTGGTACATGTTGTTCAAAAGTTCCTGTGGCATCCTTCCTCCTGCTGATGTGGTGCTAGGGCTTGCTTGTCATCCAGTCTCTGGCTTTTGGTTTGCTTCTCTCCAAACAAACCACAAGCAGAAGCCAAGGTTTGTTCCTGGCTTACCAGTCCTGGTTTGCTCAGAGAACGTGACAAGCTAGACCATAGCCAGCTTCCTGGCAAAGTTCATTCTCCATAGCACAAACCTACATGGATCTCGGCATGAGCTGAGTGGGGGGAAAGTCACTTAACGTTGAGAGAAAAACATTCTACATCCACCTCTGGAGAGTGCTACTATTTTCAGAAATAGAGTTTGCACAGTAATATTACTTAATTGCTGTGTCTTGTGTTACTCTCCAGAGAGCATCTATAGGATCTCTTTAGGGAACATTGTCGAAATGGAAGGTTGCAACGTCTCCGCCCTCTTCCCCCTTGAGATTCTCTCTTGCCGCTTTATTTTTAGCCTGAAAAGTTGCTCTCTCAATTGACTGCAGCTGTCTGCTATCAAAAGAATCTTGTATTCCTTTGTTTGGCATCTACAGCTCCCCATTATGTTGCATCCATCAAGTCTTTTCTTATTACAGTATTCCACATGGTGATTAAAAAAACAAAATGAAAATAAAATGGGAGCGGTCATGTTGTGACACTTTGCTTTGCAAGGGTCGCACAGATGACTTTTGAATTTGAACAAAAATTTTCAAGTTCCCTCTTCATAGCACTGTCTTCTTTAGACTTTAAAACACCCATTCTCCCAGGATGTTCAAGAAATGTGTGGGCAAAAATCGCATGTGCGCATTATACTCAGCAGAAACTTGTCAAGAGTTTTTGTGAAGTGATGGTGATGTGTGATAAAAGCCCAAATACTATACTTGGAGCATGATACTTTACTGTTCAAAGGGCTGCTAATTTCAGTAAGTTTGGTGTAGCCTGATCTTCATCAACGACTTATAAAGCTAACTGTCAGCTATATCTGGAATGTGACTCACACCTTCTTTTGGGGCAGACAAGTGATTATGCCTGAGAGCGGAAGACCATTTTGATTTTGCCCAGAGAAATATGGTTTCTTAGTGAGGGCGGGAAAGACAACTAACTGCTTCCGCTTCGGAGGCACCAGGCGGATATGATGCTAGCACCAACTTATTGTATGCCTATTCTTCCCCCCACACACACACATCAACTTGCCTTTTTAAGGGTGCAGAAACACCCTAACATTGAAATCTTATGCTGGTTTCATAGAATCATTGAATTGTAGAGTTGAAAGGGATTGACTTGAGAGTGATTTGTTCAATTTTATTTATTTATTAAATTTCTATACCACCCTTAATCTGAGGGTCACAGGGTGGTTTACAGTATAAAAGCTCAAAAATACATAACATAGTAACAAATAAAAACAGTACCCCCACGCAGAGTTTAAAAGGCCACAAGGAATGTGTGGCTTTTGTGTACAGTTTAACAAGGAAACCCGGCATCTTGAAACCTAAGTGCACTCAGAAGTATACGATTTCACACTAAAAAGGGGAAGTGCTAAAACTAGATAGGCAAAGCAAATCTCCACATGAGCTGTCATTTTTGTGATTCTTATTTTGTAGCTGTGGCTCCATTGCAGCACTTTCCAGGAAAGCTGATGACTCTGAGTCTTTTCCCCTCTTCTGAGAAGCATCTTATCTCTGTGTGGGTTTAATGCACACATGTGTACATAATTGTGCCTCATTCACATATGACTGGAATCAGTTTGCATAGAAAGATGCTGCACTGACTTAGTGATGTGGGAGAAATTTGGTTCACATTTAAAGGCGAACTTTAATTCACATATTCTGAAACATAGCCATCCTTCAAAATTTGCACTTCTCCAGATTTTGCAGTGCTGTCCTCCAGCCATGTAGTGTGTACAAAACTGCATTTACTATGGTAAAATGTACATAAAGATATTGGTGAAAATAAGAAAGAGAAAAAATGAACTGGGGAAAATTGCTTGAAAAAAAATATGTGTATTGGGATAAATTTTCACGAGGACTTTTTGTTTTTAAATTGCATGCTAATGCGGCAATGTGGAAGTCTGAAGTTAAGACTGAAACAATGAGAAATTGAGAGAAACCAAAAGTGACCAATTTGCCCAGCCCTAGTTTGCACCCACCTTTAAAGAATGAGGAACAAACTCAGAACCATTTGTATTTTTGCTCCCCACAGCGGTGCTGAGGATATGGCCAGTGTGCCTTCTAATTGCAGACTCACTTCCCACAGAGCCCCAAGGACCCAATTTTATGTTTAGTGGCTGTGCTCGGAAACAAGTATGCCTGAGGCTGATTGTCTGCCTGGCTTGTGTGCTCCAGTGCAGAAATTCATTGCTAATTACTATGCCTCTCTCTTCTAATTTGTGAGTGAGCTAGGCAGGGATCTGCAGTCACCAGTTGGAAAGGGCAGTATGAAGTCTAGCTATTATATTATTAATTTGTATTGGGTGGGCATACCAAGCCTACTGTTTGCACTGGAACTTCATTCTGCTAGGCATACAGCTTTCCCAATAAGGAACTATGGAAAGTGCTTCTAGTCTGATTTCAGTCAATGCTCAAACTTTCTACAAAAGGCTTGGGAAGAATGTGAAGTGACTAGATGGTTAAGGCTCCTGGCAGTGCTCCTGAGTGTGGGTCATGTTCAGGCAAGGGTATGCAGGTGGCGCTGTGGTCTAAACCACTGAGCCTCTTGGGCTTGCCAATCAGAAGGTTGGCGGTTTGAATCTGCACAAAGGGGTGAGCTCCCATTGCTCTGTCCCAGCTCCTGCCTACCTAGCAGTTCGAAAGCATGCCAGTGCAAGTAGATAAATAGGTACCACTGTAGTGGGAAGGTAAATTGTGTTTCTGTGCAGTCTGGTTTCCATCACAGTGTTCTGTTGTGCCAGAAGCAGCTTAATCATGCTGGCCACGTGACCCAGAAAGCTGTTTGTGGACAAACGCCGGCTCCCTCGGCCTGAAAGCGAGATGAGCGTCGTAACCCCATAGTCACCTTTGACTGGACTTAACCATCCTTTACCTTTACCTTTAGCTATGTGTTGCCATGCCCTTTATCAGTCTAAACAACACACACATTTCTTGTATTCATGATCCTGAGCTTTAATGTTTGCCTATGATGTGGTAAGTAGCCCTTAGTATACTTTTTAAAATGGCTTATCTAAAGAAACATCCTGTTTAAATCTGTTTAGAGGCATATGTAGCAACATTCTGATAAGGAAGGGCCACCAAAAGAAATGAAATCCTTCAAAAACTTCAGCAATGCTAGCTTGTTGCAACAAACTCTCGAAGAGTCGTGTGCCACATTAAAAACAAACAGATTTATAGTAACATAACATTATAAAAAATAAGCACAATAAAAAACTGGTGCCACAATAAATCTGTTGGTCTTTAAGATACTTTTTGTGTGTGTCTTTAGAAAGCGGATTCTTCCTGGGCTTTCTCCCTCCAGTGGTCCAGCCTACAGCTGCAATGTTCTGTGATTGCATAAGGGCAGTGAGGTCAGTGAGTTTGTGAGTGATTAATAAGAATGGGGTGTGAATGATTAATGCTTCGCACACCCCCAGGCTGTAGTAGCAAATGAACATGACATCTTAGGCAGTGGCATTTTCACCTCTTTGCCATTGGTATTCTCTTATAGGGCACCATGCAGCCAGAGGTGCTGAATTTGAATTAATATGTAAAACTTTAGCCCCCTGAAAACTTATGGTTATTAAATACCCTGGAATGGGTTATTGCAAAAGGAAAGGTCAGGGCTTTGGAATCCCAGTGATAATAGCATCATCTTCATCCAAGGTGGCACCTTCATTATTGGAGCACTGCACTTTGCAAGTGTCAATGCTCTCTTGCATCTATAAGTCATCTCACACAGTCACCACCTCCAAGAGATTTCTTTGATTTTGTGTTTCAGAGTAAACATGTATAGGATAGTGCTGTAAGAGTGGTGAACAAGAGATTGGCTCCCCAAGAGAAAGTCTAGAGGTGCTGCAGAAGACTAGTTTTATTTTGAAAAATAGCATGGCCCATTTTGAGCTTTACAGCTTGGTTTTTAAAGTGTATTTCCCTTTTCGAGATCTTTCAAGAGTGAAGGTTTCCTTTTTCACTTACATCCTGTCTTAAATAATGGGGACAGCCATAATAGTACAAGCAGGAGCATAGCCGTGAATCAGTAGGGGGAAAGTATAGCCGTTATTAGACACATCAAGGATGGCTTATGTAAAAACTTTACTCCAGACTCAGCACCTGCCACGGAAAACACATCTAGAGCAGGCATCATTCCTGATCACTGACCGTGGGGGCTGATAGCCCCACAACATCTGGAGGGCCCTTCATTGACTATGCCAGACCGCTGATGTTTGGTCATATGAAACTTAACTTCAGGATTCTCCAACTGATTATGTTCATATCGTCCTAATTTGGGGAACTAGAAGCATTATTCCAGGTTTTACATTGTGCATTTATGTTGATTGTTTTGCACATCCCACCCCCACCAATGAGAAAGGCTAGCTGTGCTATTTCTCTAAGCAGACGTGGTGACTATCAAACAGTAGAACTCCTTATGATAGCAGATGTGGTCAGTGCTTTTTTTCAGCTGGAACTCGCCAGCTCAGTTCTGGCACCTCTCAGGTGGGTACCATTGGCATTATCAGAGAACAAGGGAGGTGCTGATGCTGAACTCACACACCTCTTTTTCCAGAAAAATAGCACTGGATGTGGTTAAACTCACTTACTGTATCTCAAATGCTTTTTCTTTTCTTTCATATACAAAAAGCAATCAAAATAACCTCAGTTTTCTTTGCATTTTACAGATAGTCAGGGACTAGATCCAGAAGTCTCCAAAGCAAACTCCTTTGGGTTCATAGGATGCATGTCATCTGTCCAGTACAACAACATAGCTCCCCTGAAAGCTGCTTTACGGCATCCCAGCATAGCACCTGTGACAGTCATTGGTTCCTTGTCCGAATCAAACTGTAGATCTTTGGTTGAAGTCGATGTAAATACAGCAACTACGATATACTCTTCATCAGGTATGTTCAACAAACTGTTCAGGATGTTTGTTCAATAGCATGTCTGTTTGGTGGTTCTACTTTTAATTAGAAAATGTTGAGCTGTGTAACAAAAAGAAAGGGGTATTAGTTTCCCTTGGTTGAGACTAGGGGACCCCAGTATCATCCAGCTCAGTAAATCTGAAGCATGCAACTAGATTTATACTAGTTGAAGTCCTTCATATCTTACCAATGGATTCATGCAGGGTAACTATTGTAAGTGACTGGCTGAGATCAGGAAATGGAAATGAAATTTCTGCAGGTTTCATGAACATGTGCAAGAGTAATCAGAAACATTTCATTGAATTCCCAGTTGGTTTGTCCATGAACCAATTTACTAGAGCTGAGATAGGAGGGTTACTGTCTGGAAGGTCAGAAGAAGAGAAAATTAATAGCCTTGGGCTTGCTCTACCTATGAGAAATTGCACCCAACTTCCCTTCTCCCAATGAAATAGGGGGGAAATGATATCACTGCTGCCTCCATATGCAGATCCAGTACTTATGTGATATTAGCAGCTTTGATAGCAAAGACCTCTTCTCACTATTTGTATGGCTGTAGCCCTGAGGACCAATCAGTAAGCCATTCCCTTGTGCTCCTGGTCCTTGTGGCAGAGAAATAAATACATGTGTGCTGTGTTCTTTTGACACTTCTGCAGAACACATGAATATCATCTCTCATGCTGCCAACGTTCAGAACAGGAGTTTAATTATAAGCATAAAAATAAAATTTAACAATAAGAAATGACTGCTAATATATACACTGAGAAATGGAAGAGAATGAAATTGATGGGGCATATTCATACTGGAAAGGGGACACGGGTGGCACTGTGGGTAAAAGCCTCAGCGCCTAGGGCTTGCCGATTGAAAGGTCGGCGGTTCGAATCCCCGTGGCGGGGTGCGCTCCCGTTGTTCGGTCCCAGCGCCTGCCAACCTAGCAGTTCAAAAGCACCCCCGGGTGCAAGTAGATAAATAGGGACCGCTTACTAGCGGGAAGGTAAACGGCGTTTCCATGTGCGGCTCTGGCTCGCCAGAGCAGCGATGTCACGCTGGCCACGTGACCCGGAAGTGTCTGCGGACAGCGCTGGCCCCCGGCCTATAGAGTGAGATGGGCACACAACCCTAGAGTCTGGCAAGACTGGCCCGTACGGGCAGGGGTACCTTTACCTTTTTATTCATACTGGAAAGGGCCTGGATTACAGTGCAGAGATTGCCATGAGAACTGAAATAGAATTGAATATGCAGCAGGTTTTTTTAACTATTTATTTCTATGAGATTAACCACACACACACCTTCTCAAATTAGGCATTCAAGGTGACTTAACAAAGTAACAGTACAATATTGGATCAATGATCAAAACCAAAAAGCACCCATCCATAAAACAACAACGGTCACCAAAGCTGGCCAAAAGCCTTAGGGAGCGGCTTTCAAAGCCTTTGTACACCCACTGAAAAAGCCAAATGCACTTCAGGTATCGTCAGGTCCTAGCAAAATAATGGTGAGAAGGAGTGGAAAGATTGTAGACTAGTGGCCACATTGATTCAAGACATTGTGTTATGTGTGGGTGTGCATTTTGTTCTCTGCTTGTCTCTTATCCTCTCTGGTTTTAAAGAGAGTCATATTACTTGTTGATGATGATCCCAGCAGTTCATTTCTTGCCTGCAGTCATTAAATAGCCCCCTGGGAATCTTAAGTGTTTTGTATGTTGGGAAGGAAAACACATTGTGAAGCTAGTATTTGCATCACCATAGATGGAGGAATGAAAATGGCTGCTCCTAGATCACTGTCATACAGAAAATATTGCAAATATTAATGTCATGGTTGGCAATTTTTCAAATGATCTAAAAACAACAACCAAGATTTGAAATTATATATGAGAAAACCAGCTGAACAGAATACAGCTAAACACCACAATTCATCTAGCAATTGGTTGTTATTTGGCTCTCTGCATAATAGATTTGCATGCAAATTGTCCACACTTTGGAAATAGCAATTTAATAATATTTCCTAGATTATTTTATTTCAACACTATTTGCATTTGCACCAGATCCCCATTTTATCATGTCTTGTACCTGAGACATTCAGCAGGAAACAAGCAATGTTATTCACACTCTGCAAAGTGAAAAACAAATTATGAATCACTTCCCCTTTGGTGAATATGTTCCTCTTTATGTGCTGCTTTTAATGTCCATATTGCCTTGTTTCAGCTGTGACTTACTGGGGAAGCATATCTTGCGTGGACGCACTGGCAGCATCACTGAGTGCTTTTCTGGGCTTGTGTAAATAAAACATTCATTCTCTCTCTTCTTCTATGTCTCTCACACAGCACCCAAGTCTGCTCTTGCTTGCTTACATCATAGATGATAAAGAAAATGCTAAGATTATATGGTCATAAGATATCAGCTGACATGACAGCTGAGAGAGAAAGTGCATTGGCCGCAACATTTGACTTGTAAACACAGCACTGGGCAGCAGCCCAGTCTATTTCAGAACCACTCTTATGTCTTCCAAATTGATTCATTATTTGGGACTGAAGTAGATCTTTTCAAAACAAAATGCTGGCTTCCAAATCACTATAATAGGGGTTTCTGTGTAAAGGCTTGATATATATCAATTATAAAAATAAAAGGTTTTTTTGTTGTTGTTTTTTTGCCAAATTGGATGCAGTTTGTAGGCATGGGCCCCTTCTTTGGGGATGAAGCCTACCAAATGTCAGAACCATAGCTACAGTAGTTCTCCAAGGACACACTTTGCTCTTTTGTGATGAATACAATAGTAATCAGGGGGATCCCTAGGAAAGACTAGGTTGAGGGAAATTTCACACTTCCCAGTGTGCACCCTGTTACCCCAAGGGTCACTGCTGTGGGTGGGCTTCTCCTCACCATCACAGATTTTTTGGGGAGTGCAGCCTCTTCTCCCGGGAAGAGAAAGAGATCTTTCAATTGACTTGTATAGAGGAATGGAATGTGGGAAAGGGGCACAAATGTCCAGGAAACATTAGGGGGCGGTGAATGCCACCTTTCCAGCAAGGAGTCTGTTACCACAAGGGTCATTAGTGGATGTGACCTTCTGTCCACCACCACAGCCTATTGGGGATACACATCCTTCTCACTGGGAGAGAGGGGGAGGAGAGATCTCTATTGCTTTGCATAGGAGAAGGGGTGATAGTGGTGGATACTCAGCAATCAGCATAGATTCACTGCATTGTATTGTTTTATTAATGACAATTTTTGCACCCTGGGCTTCTTTGAGAGGAATGGCAGGATGGCATTGACACACACAGGTTGAATGAAGCTGACTAACATATACTCAGAGGGGGACCCACTGAAAGCAGTGGACAAGTTAATTCTGGTTTCTGTGGCTTACTCTGAGTCAGCTGGTGACAACCCTTTGTCAATAGCATACCCCATTCAGCCAGCTGTCCATCATTAAAGTCAAGTACCTACTACTTGTGTCAGAGCAGTCTTTGAAATATAGAATACAGTCCCTTATGGTGACCTTTGGTAAAATCATCTTGGGAAGTAATATCTATTTTAAGAAGAGCATTCTACTAAAGTCTTATGTGAAACTGTTCATTTCCTTGACTTCAGAATTTCACTGGGCTCTACTGGGGAAGTGCCTTTTGTTACTTACCATCTGCTTCTCAGCAGCAAACACCTCTTTGTGCTTCCCTAATCTCGTTTTTAACTGAGTGAATCATAACCCCAAGAAATGTTAAAGCTTGTCAGCCGAAATTCTAAACACAGGCATGTCAACCGCTTTTTTAAACAAGCTACATAAAAATGATTCAAAGTTACATATATTTCAATACATATAGATAACTGCCTAAAAAAATTCAAAGGAATAAATGTTTAAAGCACCTCAAAATACAGTCAAACCTTGGTTTTCGCACGTCTCGGCTGCTGAACGCTGAAAACCTGGAAGTGAATGCTTCTGTTTTCAAATGCGCCTTGGAAGTCGAATGGCTTCCGAGCCACATTTCTCATTTCCCCCCCCCCATGGAACTAGCTGACAGCCCTTTAATCCTCAGTTCTTGAACGTTTTGGAAGTCGAACAGACTTCTGGAATGGATTACGTATGAAAACAGAGGTTCCACTGTATCCAGTGAAGTTATCCTATTAGTGCAAGGGCTAACATTTGAAGGGCACATGATGAGGAGAGAGTAAGGGGAAGCTCTGTTGTGCAACAGTCCTTGGATGAAGGGGACAACTTCATGTACAACCCATAGTCTGTATGTTTTACTTCTTTAACTCAGGTAATTTCATCTTGCACAACAATGTATTTAATGCCCTTTCTGGAGGAAGAACCTGTGCCATTGGCTCACCCAGTCTCTCACACTATTTGAAGTTAGCTATTCATTAAGACTTAATAGTTGGTGTTGTGTGCTGAACCCTCTCAAAAGACAAAGAACATATGTGTCGTGATACCAATAAAGAACGGATGGAGCTGGGGTTGAAACTAGTTGATCCTTTCCCATCCTCAAGTCCCTTTGCAACTGGGCTCATCTCATGCCCAGATGATCAGTGAATGGCGCGGTGAATGACAGTAACCCAGCTTGAAGAAGTGTCGAAACACAGATTGTCTCAATTTGCAAGACTTCTCATTTGCTCATTGTTGGTGTAGCAAAAAGTTCACAGGTAGAAAATAGAAAGCCAATGTTGTTTGCAGTAAGAAGACAACATATTGTTATGAAGAGGAAAAGAAATGACCAGGGGTTGCATCTAGTGTAGCACTAAGTAACTTGTTCCATCTGTGCAAGCATTTACACTTGCCCAATGGAACCTCCTCCCACTGTGCACACCCAAATCTGTTATACTGTTTCTTCATATCCTCTGGAGCAGATTTGGGGTGGGTGGGGGTACACACAAAAAAGTTTATGTTGATGGGACAGACCCCAGAATTTTTATTTCTTTGACCCTCACTATACTTTCCGCCTATAGACAGATTTTAACTTCTGGTCACTAAGTGGTCGAATTAAGACTATTTCCACTAGAAATTTATCATTCTCTGCCTCCACTCCCATTTTGTGTCACCACTCCATAACTTCTAATACAATAATACTGAAGAGGATACACATCCAACATTTTATAACCAAATAATTCCACCCCCACAAGTAAAGAACCAAACTGTCATAATCCTAGCTAAGCCAACAGAATTCATTATATTACAAGGCAACACACAGTTACAACTATCTGTTATTCAGCCTTCAGTTTTATGAAACTGGTATGTATCCAAATACATGTCACTAAAAACTGGCAGGAACATTTTTATAAACACCATATTGTCTAAAAGTGTAATCCTTTGCGTGACTCAGAAGTCAATCTCACTGTGTTAAATGGGGTTTTGTCCCAAGAACTGTAATGTGTTCTAATCAATTTGCAGTCTAATTGCATGTATTTTGCTGACACTAGGGTATTTTTTTTAATGGCACCTCTTTCAGTATTTCCTTTCTCTCCTTCCAGCAAGTTGCACATTTGCCTTTGTTACCTTCACATATTAAAACTCAGGAGCAGGAAATTATGGTGTTGCTGGTCTAGTCATTTGCTGTGTCACCAGAAATTCTGGATATTTTTAGCCCATTGGACCAGGAGAAGTCCTTGCTTGGGCTTCTGCTATTGGGACCTATTAGCTGAATCCAGCCCGTTGCATATAAAAAATGATTCTTGTATCCTTAATGAATTTCAGATCCATTTGGGAAGGCAGATGAGAGAGAGCCACTCACCAATGCAGTCAGGAGTGATTCAGCTGTCATTGGAGGTAACCTATTTTTTTCTTTAAAAAAACAAACTGAGTAAGAAACTCAGCAAGAAAATGTTAAGGGAAATATATGTGAATAAAATACAAAGTTCTTTATTAAAATTATCACTGGGTTGTATACAACATAGCACTAAGCTGAATGTTTAGGAGAAATCCTTGCACAATGAAATGTCCTCCCCCATTGACCTCCTAAATCCATTCTGGGGACTCTCCCAACCTCTAGAACAGATTTGGGGACAAATTTTTTGTTTAATGCTACCCATTGTAATAATCTCTCTACTAATAAATCCTCAATAATCCAGTACTAATAAATCATGTAACAATATCGGCCAAATAAGCTTTGACAAAGTCTTCATCGGGGAGTTATCAAAAACAGAACAATTTGATGGGCTTTGACTTCTATAGTCACTTAAAGGAGGATTACAAAACACACAAAGAAGTTGGTTGTATATGACATGAGAGAATTTTTCAGGTCTCCTTATCTCAAGCTGAATGGGGCTTTATACACCAAAACAAAAACCTTGAACTTAGCCCGGTAGCTAATACTTTCAGACGAATCCAGTGGAAAAACAAAATTGGATTAATTTATGTAGATTATTTTTCCAGAGTAGCCGCATGGAGTCCTAGATTTGCCTGCACCTATATTTAAAGCTGCTAGAAAGCCCTGAGATTGGTGCTGGCTGACTAGAAGTCAAATGGAGATCTTGTTCAGGGGAATCAATCCCACTCTCTTCTGACATGGCAAGAGAAGAAGCAACAGAAGCCCCAAAATTATATGAAGAAGCCTAGTATTGGAAATAGGAAAGACTCCAAAATGATTCTGATATATGGGTGGGATGGGCCTGAGCTGTCTAGGAAAGAGAGCTTGAGAAAGCTCAGTGACATCTTCAGTGTGCTGTGTCAGTGAAAAAGACAAAATTTTCAAAAATTATCAGGAAAGGGATTGGTCCTAACAGGAGAAAGGCAATTACACTGCAACATTATCAAGCTACCATCTCAGTCTTAGAATACTGCTCCATTTCTTTATTGTCTTCTATAGGGTAAAACCAAGGAGGTAGCTATACAGGTCTGGCCATTTCAATAGTTTCATGGGTTTCTTGAGAAATCATCAGCCCTATCTCAACACCATGTTAAAAGTCATCAAACTTTATGACCCGATGGTCTTCGTAATTAAGAAACAAGAATTACAATACCCATGAAAGAATAATTAAATTAGAACCGTATCCATTAAATGTGACAGTCCCAATCCAGTGGATTAAGCACCCACTTGCAGCTAGAAAAACATGGAAGCATGAAAGTCTTAATTCCTTCCTTTCATAGAGATTTTGCTGAATTTGTCTCAGTTGAGCCTTTTCTTGGGGTTTCCCCTATATTTTGGCTCAAAAGCTGTTCCACAACTTAGAGAGATCTGCTGACAAGTGCCTATTTTGGTAAAATAGAGGGGAGACTTCTCATTTGGACTGTGGTGGCTTCTCGTAATGTTGCTATGTTGTGAACCACCATGAGATCTATGGATTAGCTAAACCAACCAAAACCATTGCAGTGCTTGACAGCCCAAACCATGTGGCAGCTACCACTTGCTACTCTAGGAACACAAAAGCAGTAAAAGGTAAACAGGTAAAGGACCCCTGTAAGGTTAAGTCCAGTCAAAGGTGACTATGGGGTGTGGCGCTCATCTCACTTCAGGCTGAGGGAGCCCGCGTTTGTCCACAGATAGCTTTCCGGGTCATGTGGCCAGCATGACTAAACCTCTTCTGGTGCAATGGAACACTGTGACAGAAGCCAGAGCGCAAGGAAACGCCATTTACCTTCCTGCCACAGCAGTGCCTCTCTATCTACTTGCACAGGTATGCTTTTGAACTGCTAGGTTGGCAGAAGCTGGGACAGAGCAATGGGAGATCACCCCGCCGCATGGATTCAAACTGCAGACCTTCCGACCAGCAAGCCCAAGAGGCTCAGTGGTTTAGACCACAGCGCCATCTGCGTCCTTAAAACAAAAGCATTAATGATTTGTGTTCAAGTGTCATAATGGACACAGGACAGTTTACCCCCAACAGAAGGAAAAGGGCTATAGAGATTCAATAATTTATCTGGTGAAACAGCAGTGAAATCTTCCCCAATGATGTGTGTTGTGCATCATCACTATTTGCTGATATGGCCATAATACCAGGTGCAGTGGAATGAGATCAGGCACCATGAATTTCAAGTGCTGCAGAACTGTGCAGTTATAAGCAAAATCTGGAGTTTGAAAACCTCCATGAGCTGTGCTGTGTGCTGTGACTTGCTCCTGACTGATCTCTGTGTTGTTGAACAACTACAGCACTCTGCTTTTCCTCAGTGGAGGCTGGTTCCTTTGATTTCAGTCTGTCACCACCCATCCCTCACCTGCCTGCCTTCTTACCAGTCAAAGGGTGGCCCTGACAGTCAGCTTCCTTCTACTCCATCTCAAGTTTGCTCTTGTCCTTGTTCAGCTCAATAGGGAAGAGGATGAACCTGGAATTAGTTGGCTCTGCCTGCCATTAGCTCTCGTTCCACTTACTGTTGGCCTGCTTGTTTTCTGCAGTGCCAGCCCCAAGCAGCACTAGCCGCTGCTGCTTCTCCCTTTATGATTGTGCTTCTTTCCTCTCTTCCTCAGGTGTTATAGCAGTTGTGATCTTCATCATCTTTTGCATTGTGGCTATTATGAGCAGATTCCTTTACCAGCACAAACAGACACATCGGAGCAGCCAGACAAAGGAAAAGGAATATCCAGAGCACCTTGACAGTTCTTTTAAGACTGATGTTGACTTGCAGAACACAGTGAGCGAGTGCAAACGAGAATATTTCATCTGACAGACTCTCCAGCTCCATGTTACACTTTGGCATTTCTTTGATTATGATGGTTATTAATATTATTATTATTTTCTTACCCATCCATTTCTTTTGAATTTCCCCACCCTTTTGGAAAGAACCCACTTTGCACAGAGGAGATTGGCAGCAATGGCAGTGCCTCACTCTCTTTGTGAAACCCACCACAGTTAACGCCTAACAGTTCAAGCAACTATACATTCTACCTAAGTTCCACATAACATGCATGGTTGACTGTTTGTTTCCTGGATTTCTGAAATGTTGTTTTCTGGACCCATTTAACTTGCCATTTCATGTCGGACCTGAGCGATATATACTAGAGGTAAAGTGTACAAGCTAACTATGTAGCATCATGGCTATTGCAACAAGGTAGTGGGAAAGACTAAGACCAAATTATCTCATATCTTTAATTGTGTGTTTAAAAGGGGACAAATCCTCCTGTCTTTGGCAAATTGGCATAATAATTCTGTTTCATGTTGGTGGTGCTGTGTTGATTTTGCAAGCTGAGGATCTGGAATGATTTTGCCCCTCCTCCATATCTTTTAACCCTACCTTTGCATCCCTGTTATTATTTTATTGTAACTTTTTGACTTCAATATTCTCATTTTTAAGGTACCAACCTTGATTAAACAACAGCAATGAACAATTGCAAAAATGATTCCTGGGCCAAGTATTATGCCCAGTGAATTTTGTCACTGTCAGGGGGAAGAGTGAAAATGGCCTCTGCAGATTTTTGCCATCTTTGGGCAGTAGAAAAAAACTAATATTTGTAGTTGTGGAGTGTCTTACCATGATAGTGACTAGATGCCAGAGGGTTCCAGACTTTCTTTTTTACAGAAATAATCTATAAAACTGCCTCAAGGCAGTTGGCCATTTTCTCTCCCTCCCCCTAATTTCCCCCCTCCCTCATAGTACTAGGACCTGGGGTCAACCAATGAAGCTGAATGGTGGGAGATTCAGGACATACAATAAGTAGTACTATTTTATCTGTACATAGTTAAACTATGGAAGTGACAAACGTAAGTTGTAGTGATGGCTGCCCACTTGGCTGGCTTTAAAAGTGGGTTAGACATATTCATAGAGCATCATGCTATCAATGGGGCATCATGCTCTGAATACCAGTTGTTGGGGATGGCAAGCTAGAGAAGACTATTGCGTTTATAACTAGCTCATGGGCTTCCCACGGGCATCTGGTTGGCCACTATGGGAGACAAGATGCTGAATTATATATTCCTTTGTTCTGATCCAACAGGGCTCTTCATATGCACTTTATGACATAGTTATACTTAATGTACTTTTTTGTTTGCAATGAGGAGTGCCAGGCTGCTGCTTATTGCAGATACCTTTCCACTTGAAGTGGTGGCAAAACTTTCATAGAAGACGGAAACCCTCTAAATCCTTGTTTCTATCATAGCAGCCCCCCTCACCCCTGAAAAACATTACAATTACATTTTATTTTTTTGGCACAACTTACTCCAAAGCTTATGCTTCAACTGCAACTTCCATCACATAGGGTTGGCTAAAATCAGTACCTTCTATGCGAATATAATACTAGGTGAAGCATGAAAACGAGCAGTTTTTAGGTTTCAGTGGTTTAGGTGCCTGCTACATGTTAGGGCGCCCCATAAACCCTGACTGGAACAAAAATCTTAGTGATGCTGTTTAGAATTGATACTTAGTCATAGTCTAGTGTCAAAGCATTAAAAGTAGTGGGATCAACCATTACTTTGTATCTATTCAATTAAAGCCAATTCTGTATGAAATTAGGCAAATGACTGGGCTTGAAACAAAAAAGTAGATGATGCAGGAAACTGGTGCTGCATTTTTTCCTACTAATTAATCTAGAATTTCAGGTTGGCATATTAAGACTGTTCCTTTCTACCACAGGAAAAACTGTAGGGCTGTGTCGTTTTGCTCCCAATTCACTCTTACATCCACTGACATCTCAAGAATGACAACCAAGAAACAGTGATAGGATAGAAACAATCATTAATGAGATTTCCAATAGAGAGCAGGCAGGCATTTTGTATTCCACCTGAAGGTTTTGGGAAAGTTTGGGTTTTATCTGGGGTAAGTGATATATATTATAGCCCAGGAGGATCTGCAGTATCCTGTGATATAGTAAATCTCTGAAGGTGGGTTTGCTCATTGGGTCTGCTCTAATGAGAACCAAGCTACACAGTCCAAGTTTGACCAAATTACTCTACACAGGATGGGCAAGAAAGACTCTAATTTGATGTTTTAATTTGATTGATAATTTCTCTCCCTCCCTGCTGTCATCTTCAGCAGCACTGTACCCCTCCCTGAACAACAGAACTGAATTTCAGCTCTTTATTCCATTAATGTCTCCTTATAGCGATGATTGTGGTGTTGTTACTGCATGCATTTCCCTTTCTGTTCTGCTGTCATTCTTTAGGTACCGGTAATCAGATCTTTCAAATCAGGCAGGTTCCCTCACATTATGTGCTTCAGTTCCCCATTATTCCTCCTATGGTTTAATCAGCAAAGATTGTTCTTCCCAAAAGTGAAACATAGAACCCACTGACTTAGGACTCTTATCACACCCTAGGTCAATGGTCATATGAAATTTCCAATAATTTGTTGCAGATGGCAGTGATCAAATAGGGCTTCTAAGTATGCCTTACTTATACTGAGAGGTGGAATTCACAATAGATGCACTGAACTCATAGATTCATGCTAGGAGGAGAACTGAAAGGCAGTTTGGGCATGATGCTCAGAGTTCTGAAAAATCACCCTTTTGTCCTTGACCATAAGTAGAAAGGAAGTTTTCTGGCCTTAATCCTGCTGAATGATCTGTGCACCAACCACTCAACTTTACAAAGCACATTCAATTGAACCTAATGATTAGCTCCTTACAAGCAGCAACCTTTATCCTTTTTGTTTCTCTGATCTTTGATTATTAGAAGTTTCTTTAGCATGACAAGAGTGGTTCTGATGACACTCAACAGAGGCACTTATGCCTTTTTAAAGTGTCCCTCTTGCCAGTGAGATTTTCCATCAACAGTTTCCTCCCCCTCCCAAATAAAATTTCTCTGTATTGCATTCTGAGTAATTTTTTGAAGGCAAGGAGAGGGAGAGCGACCCAAACAAATCCAGGAATTAATGAGTCCTTTTCTCTGTCTAAGGACTCCACATTTTTCCTCATTATTTTGGCTGTTCTTTGGCCGAGTCATCTTATTTTATATGATTTTGCTAACAGGGAGCCATTCATTCGTAACCTGTTTAATTGCATTCTGAAAAGGGGAAAGGCAAGGCAGTGGAATTCACATTTTTATTTCAATAACTTTGCTCCCTATAAATTATTGTGCCATATTTTCCCGTTACTCAACACAGCTGTTATAAATCACCACTTTGCTCTACTACATATTCTTTTCTTCATCTCGATATAAAAGTCAGCCTAAAGTGTAGCAAATTTAGCCCCAAGCAGATACACTAATGGGATGAAAAGAGAGGGTTTGGGGAATAAAGCAGAGCTGAATCATTATGCAGGGTATGGGCTGCTTTTCACTATATAGGAAATCAGGGGTCTCGTTCTTGCCAAAAATATTAAGCTTTATCAGTTAAAAACAAAAACTTGAGGGAAAGAAAGAAAGGGGGGTGAAGTGTCATTACAAAGCATGTAAAGGTTTTTTTATATAAAAAAAGACAAGGGAACAATTTTTGCTGGAACTGCAGCACATGAGGAGGGGAGCTTTAACCCCTTCCATCCCCAACCATGATAGCAGTGAAAACTGTCCCCACTCTCCTGTTAGCCTTAGGAAAACAGCACCCACTGGTGCCCTAGTTATGAACAGCTACCATGGTTAGAGCACACATTCCCACACAATAGCAAAGGACGCATCCCCCAGTGTCAATAGGACTGTTGACATCCACACCAGATATGTGAATGGAAGGCTGCTTCAAGTATGCTGATCTCCATTGCTGGATTGAGACATGAGTACATGAATACTACTTTTTTCTGTCCATTTCAGTCACAGAGTTTGCGGTTTCTAATTGACAAATTTGGAAGTTTTTTGTTTGCTTGCTTTGTGAATGGGTGGAAACATATTGCCATCCCATTCTATGTATACTTGACTTGGGGAGCAATTCCATCTTCCCTCCAAGTCTGACTGGACTCTTGAAGCTCCAGGGCTGCTACTACATCCACAGTTTTGCCACACCAGCTGTCAGGGTGGAAGTGGGGTGGGGGCAGCCTAAGGACAGCAGCTGGACCACCTTGAGATCCAATGGATCCTGGGCCTGCACAGCCCTGCCCCTTTTCCGGCCCCTGAAAACACAATTTCAAGGCTTTCCACTGGCTTCTACCAGCAGGGATTCCACCAGTGGTGCTTCCATCCCCCTGGACATTCAGTGAAAAGAATGGGATGCTCAGTACCATCAAAGAGACACTAGTGTCACTCCTCAGGCAGCAGCTGATAGATCAACAGGGCTGATGGAGGGACACTTCTACCCAGTTAAGCCACCCACCCCCAGTCAGGTGCAAAACAGGGTTGGATTGTTCTGCCTGAAGATTAAAGAAACCTTGAAATTACCAAGAGTTCCAGAACAAATGAACAACTTGGGCTCAAATTACTAGGAAGTAAGCCCTATTGAACAGAGTGTCTTCCTTCCAAATAAGCATTCAAGCAGTCTGTTAAATCAGCTTTTAGGGTCCTTAACTGCCTATTTGACTGCATTTCCTTTACAAACAGAACTGAATCCTGGCTTCTAAGGGAACAAGATTATACGCACATATATTTAAATTTGATGGGCTTTCCCCCTCATACCTGCTTATCTTAATTTTCTCACTATAAAATTGTGTTTTTTGTGTTGTTAATTGTAGGTTTTCTTGTATAGGAAAGCAGCTTACAGCCCAATACACAACTCAGTTAAGCAGAAGCACTTGGATTCAAGTTTAATTAGCCCTATTGAAATCAATAGAATTAAATCAGTATAAATCTTAGTAACCCTGGTTTCACTTAGCTGGGCTATAGATCAGTTGCCCATTTCACTGAAGGGTGGTATACCTCCTGTTTGTTCATTGGTATCACTAGACAGACAAATGATCCTAATGTTACTAGAGACAGCTTGAAATCTGCTTCCACCTTGTGCCTGCAGGATTGCTAGTTCATATGTTTGACACGAAAGAGACTTGTGCCCTCATTCATATGTGAAGCAAATCAACATTTACATCAGGAATGGGGATATTAAAGAATTTTAGTTTAGTTGAACAATTTTAGCACGTTTAACTGTATGGCAGGAATGAAGAACCTGTGACTCTCCAGATTATGTTCTCATCTTGCCTCACTAGTCTCATCTCTGCTGTTAAAAGATACCTGGGCCACAACCCCTTTACGTATTTAAGTTCAAATGCTTATTGAATCAAGCTGTCCACCCAGAACAAGCAAACCTCTCCAGGAGAATCCTTTGGTTCACAAGAGAGCTCTTGAAGCTTGCAAACTGATGCCTTAAAATGTTAAGTGCTGTTCCTTCAGGCCTGTGGTGTAGATGAATAGTCACACATTGACGGTCCTCTTGCTTAGTTGCCTGCAAAAATGGGTGTGTGTAGGAACTGAGCACATCAAGCATCTATCACACCACAACACAGGAGTTGTGAACTGCATTAAGTCCTTGTGCACCAAAGGTTCTGCCCTGTAGTGGACAGCAGGGTGGAACAGTGATGCTCACCTGACCTCCAGTTGCCTGCATCACTGCAACATACCAAGTAGGAGGATATAAGGAGCAGTGAACTTTGTTCCAACCTGGCCCTCTCCCTCCCCATTGTGGTATGCATGAGCAACCAGTAGGAAGGTCAGGTGAGCGCTGCCACCCCACCCCAACCCTTCATCCATTACTAGTTGGATGCCTTGTAGAAACTCCATTCAGTTCTCATGAATCTCCTTGGTGCATACCAGTCTTCATGCCATTTTGGGGTGCTTTCCTTAACGTAAATGATCTGAAGAACCTCTGAAGTTGTTCAAAGGAATGTAGGCTGATCCAGATAGCCAGTTAGTATATAACTTTGTTTTGAGCTTGCTCGAGGCGAAAAGAGTTTTCAACGTCAACATCATAAACTCACCCTTTAGTTTTGTGAATTTAACTCATATTTTGGAATCCGTTCAGTGACATTCCTTGTCACAATGTGGGTGCGTAGTCAAGCTCTAGATACTTGTTCTAATTTATTGCTTTTTGCTTTTATACTCAGCTTTCCAGGGTAAACCTTCATAAGGCAGCTAACAACATCTCATGTGATACAATATGTCAGATTTTAAAAAGTAATTAAAACAGCCTCCCTAGAGAATCTATAACAATTTTTAAAAAGTTAAAAAGCAGTTAAAAAGTCAAGCCAGCATGAAAACACCATAGTTCAATGAAAAGCCGAGCTAAGTGTAAGTTTTAAGGTCTGCATAACAATTGCTAATGGAAGAGCCATAGACAGTTCTCAGGAGAGGAATCTGAAAGATGTGAGGCTACAATTGAAAATGCCCCTTCTAACATCATAGCTCCTAACTGCCAACCAGAGAAAAGGGCCTCTGCAACTGATCTCTCAGAGTTCAGGCACATTCACATGGGTATAAGTCACAATATAAATTGATGACCCCGCTGCAATTTAGACTAAAAAATTAAGTGGCCAGCCATGTATTCTGCAATAATGTAAACCGTACAGTAAGACTGAATTTCCTTCCCACTTTCTCAAAAATCAGGTCTGTTTTCCGCTGTTTTCATTGATGAGGGGGGGGAGTTCTCTAAAGTTTTTGACAGGGGATTGCCACTTATCTCACTGAGTCTTTCCAAGAATTGAGGCCAGTGAGAAGCCTCAGAGATAGAGCTTAACACCACTCCCCACCAGCCACACTTCCCAGCATGCCTTGGAAGCAACATGGCACACCCTGATGCGGTGTCACTCTCAAAGCATTCCAATATGTTCATAGAGCAGGAAGTTTAAGTTTAAAAAGCAAACTTTATGCTCACTTCATAAAGTTAAGGTAAGGCGCAATCTTCTTTCAAAATATTCGGATAAATTTTTCTCAACACACAAAATTTTTTGGCAGGGATATTTCTCACCCACACAGCAAATGGTCAAAAAAATGAAATTTGAGTATAGCTCTGGTAAAATTGGCCCTTATATATATGTTCACTGAACTACATCTATTCAGTTTAACAAGAGCCTGGTTCATAAATGAATATTGATGCTGAAGACATCAAGTGAAGGGCTACAGATGGGGGTTGTGATTTACAACCAATGGCAGAAGTTAAATCACCTGATGTCACCTCCAATGCAGTCCTTTTCAACAGAACCAATTTGCAGACCTTGCTGCCAGTTAACAAGTAATAAGAAATCTATGAAAGTACTTGGATGTGTACAGGTCATGCTGCAGGTCATGCAGGAAGCATTAGGAAAAGGGATCAAAAATAGGACTTCCAAAACCATGATGCCATTATAAAAGTATTGCGATACTTAGAAAGCTATGCATAATTCTGGCCGTCATACCTCAAAATGGACCAGGAACAGGTGCAGCAGCAGAGCAAAAACCCCTGGAGAAAAGGTGTTAGTCTGGAAAAAGAGCCAATTTGGGGGAATATGATAGAGATGCATAAAATTATGCATAATGTGGAGAAAGAGGCTTTCTTCCCATCTCATAATAATAATACAACTTAGTGTTACCCCATGAAGCTGAATGTTGGAAGATTAAAAAAAAAAAGGAAAGAGATACTTATTTACACAGTGCATAGTTAAACTATGGAATTTGCTGTCACAGGTTGTAACCACTGCCTACCAACATAGATGCTTTAAAGAGCAGTTAGACAAATTCAGAGAGGATAAGGCTATGCAGCGTTTGTCATCATGGTGCCTGTAAGTTGACAGGATCTAGCTACCAGTCACTAGGGAACAACAGTGGGGAAATGCTATTGTTTGTGAGCATGTAGTTGACCACTGTGAAAAACAGGATGCTGGATGCAATGCTAGTTCAGATGTGGTCTTGAGTCTAATACAGCAGGACTTTTCTTATGTTCCCTGTAAAGTATCTGGTTCCTTTGAGACTTTAGGTTGCTTGATCCAGTTCCCATTAATGTACTTATACAAAAATTTATGGAAATTATTGTCAGCTGGGTCACTTCTATTGTTCTTGCTTTCTTTTAAAATTCCCATTAGTTTTGCAGCTATAAGATTTATTTTCAAAGCTTGCCATCTCAGTAAAATGGCACAGTTTGCTATTCACCTCAAACAGCAGGGACAGAAGGGTTAAATTATTTCCTTTCCTCTTGATCACTGTGAAGAAGGGATTGCAAGACAAGATTATTTTAGCATTTGGCTAAATAGATTCTTTGTGAATTCTGCCCCAAAGCAGTGAGAATTAAACAAAAAGGAGCACAATGCCTGAAAAACAGCTGTAATTTGTAAATTACATTGACTCTGCAGTGTGATCATTTTACAGGGCTTCTCTCTTGAAGTTCCCTGCAGACTAATCTTCATTCAGGTCCTCTTCTATAATGGAGAGCTTCCCCAGACCCCAAACAATTATTTATCATAGCAAACACACTGTCAAAATCAAAAACCAAACAGTTTAAGTTAACTTTTTGTCATAAAAGAAAAACAACCCAATATTGCATAGCAGAGTATTTTCCCAGTGAACTACGGTTAAGGATGCAGACACACTATTAATTTGACTAGCAAGGTCCTCGCCCAAAGGCACAGAAGTGTCTTCAGCAAGGGAAAGTGGGCTGAGCCACTTGCAACTGTCAAGTGGGATCCAGGAACCATGCCAGAGGTCAGCGTTTAGAGGGGATATCATGGGGGTTGGCAGAGTCAGGAAAGGAAGCCTTTATATCCCTTCCTGCTAAGGAGAACCAATAACCAGTCTCGATGGGTGAAGCCACTCTCAGCTGGACCCTTTCATGCAAAGGGAGCTGTGTAAACCCATTTCCCTGGTGACTCGCCACACAAGTCAGCTGCCCACAGAGACACAGATACCCAGTTATCATCCTAGCAACTCTTTGCAGGTCAGGAAATAAAACTACAAGCTGGTCCAGCATTCTAGATATAAAGCTCCTATCAATAACTGTTGGGCTTCGCTGAAGAATCACTGAGAGAGGGTGGAAATCTTTATAAATCCAACATGGAAATAACCTAGCTCTTTGTGCCACATACAGTGGTACCTCAGTTTAAAAACAGCCCTGTTTACGAACGATTTGGTTTATGAACTCCGCAAAACTGGAAGTAGTGTCCTGGTTTGAGAACTTTACCTCAGTCTAAGAATGGAATCCGAAGGGTGGAAGGGCAACGGAGGCAGGAGGCTTCATTAGGGAAAGCGCGCCTCGGTTTAAGAACGGTTTCAGTTTAAGAATGGACTTCCAGAATGGATTAAGTTTGTAAACCGAGGTGCCACTGTATTATACAGAGGCTGTGAGTTCCATTTCAAAATATTTGACATAGTCAAATATTAGTCAAATAGTCACGGTGCTGGTCATGTGGGTGTGCTGATCCCTTAATCTTGAATAAGTTAAGAGGTTGCATGTAAATTCAGAATTCTCACACGTTGCCTCTGATCTTCTTGGGTACTCAGTGCGAAATAAGAATGGTGGTACTGTTGTGGCAAAGTGTTTGTTACTGTTGTGGGGCTGATGTTGTAACTCTCTATAGCTGGGGTGTGTATGAGACAGAGCTAGAGATCCATGAATCCAAACACATCTGTGTGATTTTTATTGACAGTAATGTTTGGATACATCTCTTCATGCTACAGTTTAAAGGTATTTTTCCTAAAATCTCACAGGCATCAAACCAGAGAAAGCAGCTTGAGGATTTGAAACCAATACAGATTTCCATGACTCATTCCTAAAAGGACATTGATATAGGTTATCCTTATAAGCACTTGAGAGTCCTAGGGCCATTTTTATAGTAAGATAATAAGAACATAAAAGCCTACCTAGTCTAGCATTTTGTATCTAAGAGGGACCACTCTGATGCCTCTTAGAAACTTACAAGCAGAGAATGATGTTTGATCTCAGTATCTGGTAGCCAGAGATATGCTGACATGGATAGTTTCCTAGTGAAAACATAGATTGCATCCATGAGTTCTTAGCAATTCCACAGGATATGTAACAAAATCCCAAAAAGTTCTGCTCAGTTCAGTGGTACTTAGTTCCCAGTAAACATGTGCAAGACTTGCAGCCCAGGTCATTTCTTTTTATTTATATCCCATGATACACCGAAAGGAATCTACAGCAAACTAACAAATCAAGGAATCCAGCCATTACCAGAGACAGCTAGAGGGGAAACTACAGTCATGCTATTCCGTTGCTCCATTTGAATCAGAATGCAAAAATTACTGAAAGCAAAATATTTCAGGTGTCACATTATGTGGGAAGTACAGTGGTGTATATTCAGACTTTCCCAGGTAAGGACCCCAGAGACTGGCTGCTTAAATGGCCCAGGCACGGACCTAAGGGAAGCCCTCCTGCTCTGCCAGCTCTGCCCCCTTGACCAGCCCACATCCAAACCTGCACTCCCATTTGTCAATGCTGGGTGCAGGGTTGGTCCAGCTCCTGATAGTTGATGTGGGCTTATGCCCCCCCACCCATCCAGACTGGGCATCGATCCTGAGCCACCTTCGTTGGGGACTTTGGAGGTGCCTCCGCTGTCTTGCAATGCCTCCGCACCAAGAGGGTGAGCAGACTTGTCAGACTCATCAGTTCATGAAACTTTATGCCATCAACAGTGCTGTTGAGATAAATGGAGTTCTCAAACTAGTCGTGCGACTGGAGAGCTAGTGAAGATTTTGTAATCTTGTAGTCACATCTATGAATGAATTTGCGTGTGTATTTTCTCAGTCCCAACTGAGAACCCAACCTGAACCGCAGTCTACTGTTGCTGGACTACAGCTCCCATCATTTCTTACTACTGGCCATGCTGGCTGTGGCAGATGGGAGTTAGAGTCTAAAGACATATGGAAGGACCACAGGTTCCCCCATTCCTGTTATAGGTTTGCATTAATAAGAACAGAAATGAATCCATATATTGCAGAATCTGCTACCACAGAAACAAAGCAATTGGATGCTGAAAATCAACTGCTTGTCTCAGTTTAGGTGTTGTTTTTAAAAATCTGTATCTGGCTCTCACATGCCTGAGCTACTCCTAGTAAGGAAGGATACCCAGTTTTCTTTTCTGGCTCAATTTTTTCTAGCATAGCTAAAAAAATTACAAGCTTAGTCAAGTGCTTATCCTAGACCTTAAACCTATTGAATTGTTGACACATCTATCTAACACAGATTGGTGGTTGCAAATCTTCCATATCATTACATTTGCTATTATCTGCTGCGCTGGGGCCATCAGGAGTGTCTTCTTTGTCTAGATTACTTTTTTTTTTTTGTAAAACTGATGTTGAATTCTGAACCTATTCCCAAATTCTGAAATTTTGTTTTTAGTTTTCCAAGTATCTGATTTCAACGAAGGAACAACAAACATCATCTGAGACAACAACAAAAGAAGAGTCACTTTGGGCATTAGGTGAAGCCAACAAAGCAGGGAGCACAAACACCTAATGCTTTCTGTCCTGTGCTTTCCTTCATATATTTTCCAACACCTAACTTCATATTCCAGATTGCAAGATGTGCAAATTCCCAAGAAAATGACAGTTTGCCTATCTTGTGGCAGGATGAGATATGAAGGTTGAATCTTGCATGGTACAGAAGTGCCCAGAGAACAGGAAGCTTGAGGAGGCTGTGCTTCCCATTTCCTCTGAATTGCCGAATGTCCAAAGCCACACTAAAAAGCACATTAAAAACACACAGCACATGCAAAATAGTCTTTCAGTTACACTAAAATATATGAAACCAAAATGCAACTAACTCTTTTCCCACTGTCTGCTTTTCAAGGTAGAAATCCCCTAGGATGTTGCCTCAGTCCAAGTCAGTTTTGTAGACCATGTACCATGTCTTAATACACTGTATGGGGATTAAAAAAATAGCCTTAGCTTTTTTGTTTTCTATGGTTCTTGTTGTATAGAAGAAAGACTTAAACTGTAAATAATGTATATTTAATAAAGAGAGCCTTTTGTATGATTTTGTGTGGAAGACCAGCGCCTCATGCCATGATTCTTTTTCATATATAAAGCAGGGTGGAGGGGGGGCTAATCCTGAAAAGTGGTTTCATTCTGTTCTTGCAGGCAATTAATTATTGCAGTAGGAGCAATGTTGTGGACAGTAATAAAATGTGATGCTCCCACAACTCAGATTTATTGATTTCAAACACTGCTAAAAGTGCTGTCACAGGACATTTGATCACTGCACAGCATTCCTGACTCCAGTAACTAATCATGGTTTGCAGCACCTGCCTCTGAAGTGCATGAGGGCAAATGTGCCGACTTGATAAAAGTCAAGTCGGGAGATCTGTTTGGGGTCTGATTGCAAGGCACCTCCTGGAGCACAAAGCAAGAGCTGCTCTCCAGACTTGGTGTCTCTCTGTGTGACACTTCCACTTGCTTTCACTTGCCACACTCTTGTGTGAAGAATGTTCAGTATCACACATAGAAAGCTGCCTTATAACCAAGTCAGACCATTGATCCATCAAGCTATGTACAGGCTAGGCTGATTGGCAGTGGTTCTCCCAGATTTCAAATAGGGTTCTTTCCCAGCCCTACCAGGAGATACCAGATATTGAACCTGGGACTTTCTGTATTGTTGAGCAACAACCTTCACTATTCTATGATTTCTATCTCATAGGCACATATTTTCATTATACAGTGGTACCTTAGTAGTCAAACGGCTTGGCTCCCAAACAAATCGACTCCCAAACGCCACAAACCCAGAAGTAAGTCTTCCGGTTTGCGAACTTTTTTCGGAAGCCAAACATCCCACACGGCTTTCGCAGCCTCCAAATGAGTGCAGGAATCTCCTGCAGCCAACTGGAGGCCTCACTTTGGTTTTTGAATGGACTCTTGGAATGGATTAAATTTGAGAACCAAGGTACCACTGTACTACAAATTAATAAACTATGATCAGGGAATGGGTAGTGGCTTAGGGCCACAACCCTACTAAGGACAATTCCCAAGGGTTAAGCAAGATGCGGCATTAATTTTTTTACCCAACTGCCAGCTACCATACACAGGAAGAAATCTGCACAGCAAGGTAAGCAAAGGCACTTGACATTCTGTATGTTCTCTAGAAGCAAGTTGCACTGCAGCACAGGATTTGGTGTCTCAGTTTCGAATGGAAGAATCAGCCCTACTTCTTGATAATTATAAAGGGTCATTTCCCCACCCTCAGCCTTCCACTGTTGGCCAAAACACAAATAGGCGTTCACATCAGAACCAAAAATATGGTGCAATATTAGAAAAGGACCAGGGGAAATTTTAAGGCAACAAGAACTGTGAAGCTGCTCAGACCTCTCTTCTCATTTGAAGCTCTAGCTACTCACTCCTGATTACACCTGACTCACTTAACTTTGATTGGTCACTGCTGTTACCTTCATGGCCTGTGTTTGACACTTTAGCATCTTCTCCCCTCTAATTGTGACTTCTTCAGCAGACCATTATATATGTACCTGCCTTTCATCTCCCTCACTGTTCCTGTAGCTTTTCTGACTAATCCCAGGTATCCTTCTTGATTATCCATTCTAGGGTGTTGTTTCTGTCCTGCTTCTTCTCAGACATGCTCCTCTCCTCTTCCCACATTACTGGTTTTCTGGGGTTTTTATTTAACCTGGAAAAGTTGGATATATTAAGTATTATGGAGAAGGGGCTCAATGAGAAATGCATAGGCAGTTTGATGCCAAATGTCTCTGACTCTGTATCCCAGATGTGGGGAAAGTGGTCAGGAGAGGGGTTCAAAAGAAAAGTAGGGAGAGGGGGAGAATCAAGTAGTGCTCAATCCAACCAATATCCTTGCCAAACCTTTCCCCTGGGATGAGGCATTACCTGTGCACTTCATAGTCACTGGATGTCACTAGAGTAGGTAAGGTCTTTCTAGGAATGGCTATTCAATTTTGATATTAGTGTCTGAGGTTCAGAAGCATTCCCAGGATGACACCGAAGAAACAGGACACTGGACACACTAGGCTTTGTTTTATGGACAAAATAAAGAAATTCTGCCACGAGGACCAATGCAACACACTCTGCAGTGTGTATGAATCACACCAAATTCTTCTTTAGCATGGAAACTTGAATGGATTTCTATACAACCTGCCACAATTTACAAGCACTTCAATCTTGCCCGATTACAGTATCACAACACTTTGTTTCACCTTCACACTAGCTTCCAGGAAGAGGAATTAAATGCAGGATGTTTATGATCTGGGCTCAGGGAGACTGCAAGTGTCATCTTTTAACTGCCAGGCA